TTGGAAAGGGAAAATGGGACTGAGGGTGGGGCAGGACACGGGGCCAGGCTGGGATGGGGGAGGCTAAAAGTGGGTTTGGGGCACCAGGATGGGAGGGAATTTGAGAGTGCCACAGGGTAGGAACCTCTGGGAATGTTGGATGGGTCATGCTGAGAGTCTGGAGGTAGCATGATGGGGCTGAGGCCTGCCTGTGAGCTTGGCCCCCTTTCCCAGGCTCCCCTCAGGCTGATGTGATGCTGGGGGCTGCCCTCTCTGACCTGTCACTCACCCTGAGGGGCCCAGGGAACAGCAGGGGCCAACTGAGCTGGAGGTGTGGGCAGAAGGGGCCCCAGGGGGTGTCCTGGGGTGACTGCAAAGGGGTCTGCAAGGGCAGAGATGGGGGAAGGGAATCCTGAAAAGAGGAGACAACTGCGGGAATGAAAGATAGAGGAAGGCGAAGAGGAGCTGCTTTCTGGGAGAAGGGTAGGAAGCAGGAGGGGCAGTGCTGGGGTTGGGGGTGTTGTGAGAGAAAAGGGCATGGGACTGGGGACTGTCTGTGCTGTATGGGGCTCCCAGGACCACCCTCAATGTCAGCCTGCCTATGGTATCTAGCATGTGCAGGGCGAGGTCAGGCGGGAGGCAGAGGGAGGATGTGTGCAGGATGGAGGGGTGTGGGGGTGAAGAAGGGGCATGTGGGATGGACATATAAAGGGGCCAGGATGGAGGAAGGAGGGTGGATGGAAGGAGGTGTGTGGGGATGGACAGATGCCTAGGGACAGATGGCTGGCTGGGCAGGCATGAGTGCTCACCCTGCTGAAGGCCAGGAGGAAGTCAAGGCGACCAGCGTGGCTCATGCAGTGGCGCAGCTTCCAGTAGATGAGGTGCTCCCAAGCGAAGACCAGCAGGCTCAACCCCATGGCCACCAGCAACATGTAGAAGACACCCGCCATGTTGTCAATGTCCAGCTTGCTGCTCATCACCTCGATCTTGTCGTTGTGGCATATCCCCGATAGCCACAGCCGTTCCAGCATCTCAATCTCATCTACAAGGGACAGGGGCTTTGTCGGACCCAGGTGTCCAGGCAAACAGCAGCAGGCCCCACTCCCCACTACTAGACACCTATGCCCTGCCGCACAGCTGGGGATGGAACCCAGGAGGCCTGGCTCCCAGCACCCCCATGCCCTAAATTGCCCATCTCCACTCACCTCCTGCACCTGGAGGATAGCACTCAGGCATCCCAGCCCCTCCCACTAGACCCGACTCACTTCTCTAAGCTGGGATAGAACCCAGGAGTCCTGTCCAGGTTGGGGAATGTCTTTGTCTCTCATGGCTGAGTCCCTGAAGGAGGGACCTGCACTGAAATACCCACACCAGGTGCATTGTGCCTGCAGAGTTGGATCTCCCACAGCCTCAGATTGGAACACAAGCCCAGGTAGTGGTGCTAATCTCACACACACACACACACACACACACACACACACACTCCAGTTGTGATGCTGATCACACACACCCAAGCTAGCTGTGAAGCCAACCACACATCCCCACAGGCAGCGATGCCCATCACACATACGGGCGCATTGTGATGCACATCACATGCCCATACACCAGTTGTGATGCCAGTCACATGCCCCTTTGGGTTGTGATGCAGGTCACACATGCCCTTGGTTTCTGAGCAGGCCCCACTCCCTGCTTCTCAGCTGGGAAGGCTGTGCTGGCAGCACCTGCTCCTGGAGTTGGGCCTCAGTCCCAGCCCTTGCCAGGAACAGAGATCAGAACCACCCCCAGAGCAAACCCCGCTGCACCCCACAGCCGTGCTCTGGGGCTGAATCAGGACCAGGCAGGATGCCAGACCAGGATCCAGAACTGTGATGGAACCCAGGTGTCCTGGCTCTCAGCCCAGTGTCTCTGCCCCCTCCCACATCTGGGATGAGACCCAGGTATCCAGGATGGGTCACATACCGTCACCCAGAAACTGAAGCAGGGCCAGGTCGATGGGTCGTTTCCATTTGGAGCCCTTCTGCAGGGCGATACCATAGCCCGTGGTGGCAAACACCTTGCCACTGCCAATGGTGACGAGCTTGCAGCCCTCGTCCTTGCGCGCCATGTAGTTGAGCACCGCTGCGTCATAGATGAAGGCATCCAACTTCCTGAAACACACATGGGGCCAGGACCCAGGGGGAGGGGAAGGGAGCATAAGGGAAGTCAGATCAGCCCTGATCCCTGGCCCTAATCCTGCCACCCAGCACCATCCACTCCATCCTGGCCCTGCCTCCTGTTTTCTCCACCCCACCTGCTTCTTCCTGGCCCCACCCCCTATTCCTCTGGCCCCGCCCACTCTGGCTCACACCATCTCTTCCAACCCTGCCACCCTCCACCTACCCAGCCCTGCCCTCTCCCTTGGTCACCTCCCTCCCCCTGTAACCCCACCCCATTTCCCATGTCCCCTGCCCTGACCCTGGCTCCCCTGGGTGACCCTCTCCCAAGGGCCTGCCCCATTCCCTGCCCACTCACCCTGACTTGAGGTGCTGCAGGGCATCCTCCACACTGCGCTGATTGTACTTCACCATGTAGGTGTGCATGTCGGGGTAGTTGCTGCGGATATTCTTCTCAGTGCTGCCGTTGGGCACGGTGCCGAATTTGAGCGGGGGGTACTGGTCCTGTGGCTTCTGGAACTGTGAGGCATGGGCGTCACCTAACATTCCATGGGGCCGGGTACATGCCCAACGCCCCACAGGAAATCATCTACTGGTCCGTGGGGACAGGTACCACCAGAACACCCCACAAGGCATCACTCATAGGCCCCACAGGGCCATATTCCCTAGACTCCCATCAAACTATTGTCATCCTCACTTTGCCAGGGGGATCAAAGCAGTGAAAAGAGCTGGGGCTGCCACTCAGGGGTCGGGAAGAAAGGAGGAGGAAGGAGAAATGACTAGAAAGGGGACAGACTGGAGGGACGAGGAGAGCCAGGAACTCATTGGATCCATCTAGATCTGTGGATCTTGCCTGATTGAATCTGGCTCGATCCACTAACTAGATCAGCCTGGACAGGGTCTGCTTGGATTCACTGCTGGGAACCATCCATCTACAACACAGGAAAATGGGACTGGAAAGGGTCTGCAAGTCCAGGCCTCTGTCCCAAATCCCCGCTATGAATGCCCCTCTCCACAATCACAAGGCCTCAAGCCCCAAGCACCAGCACCACCCTGTAAATGCCCTGGGGAGACAAGGGCAGACAAAGTTCTTTGGGTGAATCTGATATCTTTTATTAGACCAACTTAAGTAGTTGAAGAACAATTTTTAAGCTGCCAGTGGCCTCCCTGCAGCGACAGGGAAGGCATCTGTTTACACGTGCTCAGAAGATCCTAGGAAAGGACCATGACCTGCACAACGGACAAGGCAAAGCACCCACAGCTTGTCCCAGTCTGACATGGGGGGGAACAACCCGTTCTTGACCCTGACCTTGGTGACCGGTGAGACCCTGAGTAGCAAAGCAAAACTCATCAGCCAGCAGCCTCTGGCTATCTAGTCCCAGCAGGAGCATCAGTGTACCTCAGTCCAGCCCTCCATCCTGAGATGTGGCCAATGTCCCAATGTCTCAGAGGAAGGGGAACCTCCCCCACCTCCACCTCCAACAAAGCCAGTACCATTCATGAGCCTCTACCTGAGATTAGCCACAGCCCTGAGTCGGGGGACTACCAGATGCTTTCCATGCTACATGAGTTACTTCCACTCCCCAACTTGGGGATGGCGCATGATGCATGACTTCATACCACACCCACTGATTGTTGAGCCAGAGGCCCCCTGTCCCACCAACCCCTCCATCCTGAAACTTAGCCAGTTCAATCCCAAAGTGATTCAGGCTTCTTGCCCCATGACCAGACTTAGACCTGGCTCAGACTTCACTCTTCTAGATGTATCCCTAGCTAGTCTGGAGCCATCTGACCTTGTTGCCTAACCTGAGAAGTTCTCCCCTCCGCTGATATTTGCCCCACCTGTGTGCTTGGGCAGAGGGATCACACCCTTCTTGGTCCCAGTCTGGCCTGGGTCAGTCCTGATTGACCCATTCTTAGCCACACAGCAAAGCCTTGATATGGCCAAGGGCCACAGGACACAATACCCTGGTGATGCAAGTTGAGTCCACATCCCACCCCCAGCACCTATAATGGTGTAGTGGTGAATGGCTTTCCTGTGAGACACAAAAGAAAATCAAAATCGAAAGTCAGAGACCCATGTCTTATCCAATGACTTCTCCTTCCTTAGGACCTGCCTGCTCTATGCCAACTGGCAATGCCCAGACCAGGCCTTCCTGGCTGTGCTGACTAGCTTTGCATCCATGGCTGGTTTGGGTCTCTCTGGCCCAGCTCCGTCCAGCCAGGTAAAGGGCCCATATTAATTCCAGCTGCCTCTCTGCAACCCCAGGCTCTGCCCTGGATCTGGCCCTGATAGCCATTGAGCCAGCTCTTCCAGGCTAAGCCTCTCCCCAGCCCAGTGTCACGAAAGGCCCCTCTTCTCTATCCTGGCACGTGGCGCAGCCATCCAGAGACCAGGGGCCCATGTGAGCACATGCTGGGGATGGGGTCAACCAACACCCGGCCTAGACACACCCAGAGAAAGTGAAGACGGTGTCAGGCAGCAGGGCCCAGATGGGAGGAAAAGCGCAATGGATTTCCCCAGGCTCACAGTGCTAGAAAACCACAAGTTTTCCAGAACTTTCCAGACAGACGACCCAGATTTCTGGAGCTTTCTACACCGGGAACCCAGCACATTTCTCGAGCTTTGCGGACAGAGAATCCAGCAGGTTTCTAGAGCTTTTCTGGCCTAACTAGAGCCAACATCGATAAAGCTTTCTAGAACTTCCTAGGCTGATGCAGACTGAGGGCAAGCAAGACTTCTAGAGGTTTCTAGACCCAGAATGCAGCTAGATATTAGATTTCTAGACCTCACAAAAGCAAAGCGAGGAGACAAGCTTTCTAGTCCTCTTGACAGAGGTAATGAAGAACTAGCAGATTTCACATGGTTTCTTGGGCAGCAACCTAGGCAGAAAGTACCACAGACAGAAACAGACTCTGCTAGAAAGGATGAGATCTCTAGAGCTTTCTGAAGGGAGACGCACCTGGGGTCAACCAAGGAGAAGCCTCCAGGTCCACAGACAGGTCTGGAAAGAGACAGGTTGAGCTTTGGGAACTCACTGAGAAGCCTCTCAGCTCCTTTCTAGATGTCCAGACACAAAAACCTTGAGGCAAGGACAACCGGGGGCAGGAACCTGCCGTAGCACAGCCATCCCGGACAGGCAGACAGACGGACAGACGGGGGGAGGTGACTGAGATGTTGGAGGAGGGGTGCGGGCGGTGGTGATGCTGGCAGTGGAGGGCTTGTTGGGGGGGGCAAAGTTGGCAGCGATGGGTTCCCCTGCTGCCCCTCACCTTACGGTCACTGAGCCCTGAGACAGTGTCCACGTACTCCTCTTGGATCATGAAGGCAGCCAGGTTGGCTGTGTAGCTGGCCAGGAAGATGACAGCGAAGAATGCCCAGATAAGCACCATGATCTTGCTGGTGGTACCCTTGGGGTTCTCCACCGGCACCGAGTTGTTGAACACCAAGGCCCAAAGCAGCCAGATTGACTTCCCGATGGTGAACTTTGACCCCCCAGCACCTGCAAAACATCATGGGATGGCATCAGTCCCCAGCACCACAGGGACAGATGCCTCACAGTTGCGTAAGCCACAGGGACTGGTTGGCTCAGGAAGAGTGGGGTACAGGGGTGCCCTGACCCCAGCTCTGCTGGTGCTCCTTGGTCCTGCCCCACAGCCCCTTTGCCCCTGCCTGGGCTCCCCCCAGCCCTGCTGATGCCTCTCACCCCTGCCCCACAGACCTCTGTTCCCCCGCACCCCAGGGTGGAGCCAAGTCAAGGGGGTGAGACTCACGTTTACCAGCAGCAAGACTGCGGTTGTAGCCCACGGGGCTGAAATACTCAAAGATGAAGACGGTGACGGCAACGACTGTGAGGCACATGACGAACATCATTACCCAGACGGCCGGGCTGTAGGGCTCTGAGAGGGAGGGGACAAGAAATCAGCCCCTGGATGCCTGGGTCCCCTCCCCAGCTCTGGGAGCGGGTCAGAGGTGAAAGACAGGGGCTGGGATGGGCTCTATGCCCAACAGCACCCTAACCCTAACCCTCCCCACATGGTGCCCCTGCTGCGCTGCCCCATCCCCACTCACCCAGGAAGGCAGAGGGGGAGACGGTGCCGTTGCTGCGGGACACCATGACGCTGATGCCAGTCTCCACGAAGGGCACAGAGAAGTCAATGATCTCAGAGCGCTCCTCATTGATGGTCAGTGACCCGATGGCCATGTCCGCTCGCTCATAGAACACCTGCACCACAGGGCGGGGTTAGTGCTGAGCAGGGCTGGTGGCAGAAGTGCTGGGGGCAGGGTTAAGGGTGAAGAGGTATGGGGCTAGTGCAGAGTGGGACTGGGACTGGACTAGGGATACTGGGAGGAAAGGAGGAGCTAGGGTAGGGTTTGGGGCAGGGCTAGTAGGGGAGGATGGGGCTAGGCCAAGTCAGTGCTCTGGGGGGTCACTAAAGGAAAGCACTTGCAGAGCAGGCAGAAGCAGAAAGATGCCCTGGCAGATATGAGGTGTCCATGATTATTACTGGAGCTCTGCACCCCCTGACTTTCCTGCAAAGCTGTGGGGGCCTCAAGAGGGCTGGTTCCTCCACCCCTGTACTGCCACTTTAGGGGTACTTGTGGGCTAGAGCAGGCAGTATGGAGCCAGGATCCTAGCTTTGGGAACAAGGTGGAGTCTAGCGTTTAACTGAAGGAGCGGGGCTGGGAGCCCGAACTCCTGAGTTCAGGGTTGTGCTTGGGGGGTGGTGAGCTCTCACCTCCCCAATCATGCCATTCCACACCCCATCGATCTTCTTGCCATGCTTGCCATTGGTGACCAGGTAGAGGTCGTAGGTGAAGCCCACGGTCTTGGCCAGGCGTTTGAGGATGTCGATGCAGAAGCCCTTGCAGCACTTCTTCTCAAAGAGCACTGGGTCCAGGGAATAGCTGTGATGGGGGAGTAGAGCAGAGACTGCAATGGATGGGGAGAACAAGCAGGGCCCACCCTGGGGTATGGCTGTGAGGGAAGCTCATGATACAGGAGCCCCTTCCTGGGGGGGGGGGCACCATCATGGCAAAGCTCAGAGCCCTGGGAATCCCAAGGTGAGGGCACTGCTGGGGGAAACTCACAACAGGTGGGGACAGCACATGTTGGCGGAGGGGTAGCTGTGGGTAAGGGGCGGGCACTGCTTGGGGGGAAGCTGGTGGCACACTCACCTCTCGGTGTGGTTGAGCTGCTTGCGGCAGGGTACAGAGTCACGGATGCAGGTGCCAGTGGCTGGGTCAATGTTCTCCACGATGACAAATGGGCGCTCCTCCAGTGTGGCCACTGTCAGGTGCTGGTCGTCGTCCACCGGCTGCAGGAATTTGCCGTAGCGCGACCACACTGGGTACTTCATTCGCAGGATCTGGTGCTCCCAGCTCCCCACCTACACCGGGTGTAGACACGTCACTCCCACCCCCTAGTAAAGGCTTCACCATCCCCCCAGCCCCCTGGGGAGTCATTCATCGTCAGCAATCCATGACATTGCACTGACCTCAGAGATGCCATTGTGGTCTGTGATGCCTGACCTTGGACCCACAATCCTAGCTGCCAGTTTTGCCCTCCCCAGACTGGCCCCATACTCCCGTGGATTGTACTGGGTGGGACTCTGTCAGGGGTCGGGACATGGAGACATGCACTCACCACCTCCCAGGTACGCTCTTTGTTGAGGGAGATGACGACGAGCGAAGGGTTAATGAGGTAGCCATCCTCATTAAAGGAGAAATCCTTCTGCCCCCATGTGATGTTCATGAAATACCTGGTTTGGGGAGGGAGGCGGACACATTAGTGGGAGCTCAGGTCCCCCATCCTAGCTCTGTGCCTCTCCTCTGCCCAGCACTCTTGACCCATAGCCAGGCCAGCCCAGGGATCCTTCTTCCACCCTGCTGAGACCCGCACCTCCAACATGCAGCTCTCATGCCTTATTCCCACCCCCTGAGTTAGCCAGTGTCCCCTACAGCTGGCACCCCCTGGAGGGGAAAGTCCCCTACCACCACCTCATCAGCTGCTCTCTAATCCATGAGTGGTCCTGACCTGATTTTCTCACCCCTGCCCCATCCCCCTGTCCCCTCGCAGGTCAAGCCCTGTTTTCCCCTGAAACCCCTGCTGACCGGTGAAGGTTGTCATGGATCTGGGTCATGTTGGGAGCCCGGCAATCATTGTTGAACTCGGGGATGAAGCCATAGTCCCGGAAGAGTGCCTCAGCCCCCTTGGCAATGATGGCCACCCCATTGTGGACCCGGCGATGAAGGTCATCCCTCCAGCCGGCTGACAGCACTGTGAACAGCCCCACTGGCAGGTGCTCAGGCAGGTAGTCAGTGCCCCCCAGGTTGGTCCCCACCAAGAACCAGATGTAGCCGGGCCCAGTGAGCCCTGCTTCCCGGGCAGCCCGGAAGATGCTCTCGGCCTCCTCCCGGGAGCAGTAGAGCAGGCGGATCTGGGCACTGATCTCTCGCAGCTGACGCTTGAGGCGGGAGCCGTCAGGATCATCAGTGAGGTTCAGGGTGATAACGCCCCGGTGCTCCCAGCCAATGAAGCTGCTGTCAGTCAGGACCTCGATGTAGTCGATGAAATCCTCATAGCCAGGGAAGAGTGTGGTGAGGACAGCAAAGGCTGTCCAGTCGTACTCCTCCAACACCTCGAAAATCACCTGAAGCTGCTGCTCCGTTGAGGACCCCAGCTGCAGGAAGGTGGAACCTTTCTCCTAGGGAGGGGCGGGAAAGGTGGAATCATAGAGACTTTGGGCTGGAAGGGACCTCCAGAGGTGATCTAGTTCAACCCCCCTGCCTGAGGCAGGGACAGTGACCTGGTGCTACTCGCCCCTGCCCTGCAGCCCCCTCCCGCCATGAATATAGAGGGTGCCCAGCAAAACCAACCCCATTACCCTACTGCCACCCTCACTCTCATTTCCCTGCTGCCTTTCAGCTCTGGGTTGGGTTGGGCTGAAACTGGTATAAGTGGGTTTTGGGTTGGACTCAGGGTAAGCGGTGACTGGGGGAGTTGAGCAGAGACTGGACTTGGTAGGATCAGAGGTGTGTTGGGATTGTGAGTTGGGATGAGCTGATTCAGTAGGTCCGGCCTGGGTGAAGACCAAGATGGGTTCAGATGGAGTTGGGTTGGAATTTGGTTGTGTGGAGCTGGGGCTTGGACTGAGGCCATGGTGATTTTAGATCCCAATAAGTTTGGGTCAGGTTGGTTATCCAGTGGTTGGGTTGTGGTTTGTTTGAGCTCGGTTGGGGTCTGCCAGGGGTGCTGACAGAGAGCCTGGCTCAGATTAATTGCCCAGCTAGCCAAACCTGCCTGAGGCTGTAACAGGTCCTCACCCTGGCTGAGGAACCAGATGGTCACAGCTAAGGTGTCTGGCTTAGCTGCTGGGGAGAGCAGGCTCCCCATTTAAGCCCACCTTTGGCAGCAGGCTGGAGGCCAGGCAGCAATTCTCCCTGATGGCTTGCTGTGGGAAGCCTCCCTGGATCCTGTACTCTCTGGTTTTCTGGCCCCTGGACTCTAGCTTCTGGGAACTCTGCTCAGCTTTAGTGATCTGGTCTCTGCCTCCTGACCCAGCCTGTGACTTGGACTCTGCCTCTGCATTTCTCCCTTGGATCTGGTAACTTGGTCCCTGACTCCTGACCCGTGATTTGGCTAGTGACTTGGACTCTGCTCCTGGCTCCTGTTCTCCCCTAGTGGCCCAATCATTAGGCCAGACTGCCTATGATCCAGTCCTTATTGGGTTGGATGGCACTAGGATGGGGCTGTCTTTGGATCATACTAAATTTAGGCTGACATGGATTTTGCTGAGCTACACTTGGATTGAGATGCATCAGGTGGAGGAAGAGCTTGAATCACAATGAGTTAGGTTGGCTTGAACTGAGTCTTAGTTATGATGAATATTTGGGTTTGATTGGAAATAGCTTGGCTGAGTTGGTTGAATGTGGAGATCGTGGTGACTCAGGGTTGGGTTGAGTTGGGTTAGGATGAGATTGGGTCTGGTTGAGAGGGCACAGGCTGGGTTGCATTTGATTTGAATCCATTGGGTCAGGTGCAGGATGGGTTTAGATTGTGATGAAATCAGGTTGAGTTTGGGTACGGGATGGATTGGGATTGTGGCAAATGGGGGCTGGGCTGAGATGAGTTTAGGTATTGCTGTGAAGGGGTAAACTAGAACCAGGGCTGTGGTGACAGTGTAAATCTCCTGCCCTACAGCCTGGATCAGCTCTGTAAAGCTCAGCCAGGTTCCTGCCCTACAGCTTTTGGTAAGTGCAGCTGACCCACTTGATTAATCAACGCCAACTGACCCCCAGCCCCCTCCCCCTGAATGGCTCTGGGGCTGATTTAAGGATCTCCTCCAGCACCTGAGCCTTATTGTACCACACACTAGTCTCCAGTCTCTGAGCACCTCCTGACCTAGCAACATCCCTGGCTGTCCTAGTTCCAGGCCCTGCTTTTGGCTTTGGATTTCCCTGCAGCTCTGTTTCCTGGCTCCTACCCCCAGTTTGGCTTGTTCTTGGACCTCGCCCTTTGGATTGTCCCTTGGATTTGGTAACGGCTTCTGATTCCCGGCTTCTAACCCTGGCTTGGTATTTGGCTCCTGACTTCCTGATCCCTACCCCAACCATCCCTGATCCCACTTCTGGCTCTATCCACTAGGCTGCCTGGCCTGGTGGACCCTAACAGACAGGAATAGGGTTGGGTTGGGTTTGGCTGAACTGGAGCTGTTCTGGGTTGTGACTGGAGCACATGTGGCAGGAGAGGTGCCAGGGCCCCACCACTCACCTTGGGCGTGAGAACAATGGCGGAGCCCCCATTGATGCCGATGATGGGCACAGAGGTCTGGGCTGAGATGAAATCGAGGATCTGGGCCACAGCCTCAGCCCTTGTGTCGTCCTCAAAGACCACACCATGGATGCGCAGGGAGGAGAGCACATCACACAGGCGCACGATCAGGCTTCGCGGGTTGGTGTCATTCAGCAGCACTGAGACAGGGTTCACCTCCAGTGAGAAGTTGCGGAAGGCAGTGGGTGATAAGCGGGCGCTCTCAGGGGCATAGGAGGAGCCGCTGAAGATGATGGCCACGTTCAGTGAGCGTGGCCCATCTGGGCGCAGGTCCAGGAAGGGGCTGGCACAGGCCAAGGCCAGAACAAAGAGCATCCTAGCGGCAGCGGGGAGGCCGGAAGACAGGCTCATCTCGCAGGGACTCGCAGACCCCTCTGCAATGGGGCAGGGGGTGGAAATAGCCATGGGAGAGGGGAAAGGGTAGAAAGGAGGGTTGCAGGGAATGGGAGAGGAAGTGGGGAAGGAGATGAGAGGCAAGAGAGTTGGGAAAGAGAAGGGAAGAGAGAGAAATTGAAGCCCAGGTGACTGCTTGGCTCCATACCAGCCCTGAGGCCTGTGAGGCCAGCTAACACCTCTGCTCATGGGCCCAAAATGGCCAAGATGCAGGCCTCGGCCCCCTGTGAGGAGGCCTGGCTGTGAGGAGGTGTGTGCAAGGAGGCATCTGGCTCCCAGGGAATGAGAAACAAGGCTCTTGGATCCTTCCCCTGCACCACCCAACATCATGAAGAGACTGGGCCGGGTGGGCCTGGGAGCTGGTTCAGGGCAGGGAAGAGGTGCAGTCCAGGTAGATGGGCCCATTGGACTACTCTGGCCAGGGGTCTGGTCAGGCCCGTGGCTGCCCTGGGCAAGGAGCCCGTGGCACAGGGCGGGAGGAGAATGCCGTCCGACCTTGATGAAGATGCAGGCAGCTGAGCTGGGGCCAGCGCTGATGGATGCAGTCCCAGCTTGGCAGGGCCCCAGCGTAGGGAGGGCCAGTCCCGCCCTGCCACTGCACCCCAACCCCCACAGGCTCTTGCCTCCACCCAACCCTGACCCCAACCCCGCCAATTCTACCCCATTTCTTCTGGAGACATCCCCCAGGTCCCGGGTGCAGCCTCATCCCCCAGGAGAGGTACTGGGGTAGGGGACCTGGCCACCCAAATCCTGCCAGCCCCTCCCTCTTTGCCTGCAGCCTTGTTTCAGCTGCCATCTGTCCAGGGTGTGGGTCAGGACTCCTGGGTTCTCTTCTTGATTTGGGAGGAGGGTGGGGTCTGGTGGACTAGGGCAGGGCAGGTGCTGGTAGCCAGGACACCTGGGTTCTGTCCTTGCTCTGAGAGGGGCATGGGGCCTGTTGGGCCATGCCAGTCATGTGGTATAACACAAGTTATGCTTGGGGCTGAGGGAGGGAGGCAGAACCCAGGTGTCTGGGATCCCTCACACCCAGGGAAGCCCCCTTCCCTATTCCCTCACTCCCATAATCCA